AGGGGGCACTCCCCAAACTCAAGCAAACCATTTTATGGACTTCTGCTGCCACCTAGTGTCTGCTCTCTGCATCTGCCGCGGCAGCTCTAAGAGAAGGTAACCTCCTGGGGTCCTCTGGAATGACGGCTATAAACTCCGAGGGATGTGGAAGGGGCTGCATTGGTCCCTCCTCAGACTCAGGAGACAGTCGAACTAGGTCCTAGGAAATGCAAGTGATGGTAGAGACAAAGTCTCGGGCCTTGGGGGGCTGACTGGGAACGGAAGCGACAGACCTGCTTCTGCCTGGGACATCTCAGCCCAGGCCTTCCTGGGAATACAGCAGAGGAGGAATCCCTTCCCGGGTACAGGGAGAGTTGTGAGAAGATGTGCTTTGAGCACACAGAAGTGGAGACGCTTTGAAAACTGACCAGGACATGCTGAGGGGTTACTGAGTCACGCCGTGACCAAGAGAGACAGGGCTCTGGGGCTCTTGGGCAGGGCAGAGCGAAGTGAGCTTTGGGCTGGGACACCACTGCCTACAAAAGTTCTAGCTTGGGCCCCTCATGAGGCTGCCTCAGGAGAAGTGCAGATTGCTTACAAGTAGTTCAACCCACTTCACAGAAGGGGAAATTGAGTCCAAGAGAGTTTGGGTGCCTATCCTAAGTCATGGAACTGTAACCTAGGAAGGAGGTTCATGGACAGAGCCGTTATGGCCTCAGTGGTCCCCTTCTGTGAAAGAGACTGTCTCAGGGCTGGGGCCCCATAGATCAGGAAGACAGGAAGCGCCCCCCCCCCCTTCGCTGTGGTACAGTGGAAACTAAGGCCCCTAGGCCCCCATTATCCTGCCTCTAGGCCGGCCCCTCTCCCCTCCCCCCCCCACCCCTGCAAGTCCTCCCACATTCCTCTAGGCAACAGGAAACCCCAGCTGCAGCCCAGACTTCAAACAGCTCCTCCCTCTGGGTAGGGGGTGTGGGAGGAGAGGCCAGAGGCCAGAGGGCAAAGGTCAGCTTTGTTCCTGCCGGAGGTGCTGAGGGACCCTGGGAGACCGAGGGGGCAGGGTAGGGCCCTTGACAGCCACACTGCATGTATGTGAATTCCTGTGTCCATCAGGCTAGCCTCATTCTCTGCCAGTCTATGTTTAGGGATCCGTGTGTGTCCTCGGCTTCCTTTCAGTTTGTGGACCTGCGTTGGGTGTCTGAGTATGTGTCAGTACAGTACGTGCCTATCCATGGGTGCTTGCCACTGACATGTCTACAGGTGACGTCACATGTATTGACCTGTGTGGTTCATAGGCCTGCTCAAGGTTTGTATCCTATGAACGTGACCTGAGGGGTGTCCCTCTCCCACCCTTTCTCTTCCCCTCTTTTCTCCTTGTCTTAGGTTGGTCATCAGGACGTTCCCACAGAGAAGTGACTTTGTTACTCTTCAGCTTAATTGCCTCCAGGATCCCAAGGCCCAAGGCTTAAATCCCAGCCCTAGTGCATGGCCAGCAAGTCCCACCTCAGAATCCATCTTCAGCCACCAATCCCCTTCAGACTGTACACCCAGTCACAGCCACCTAGTTGGAACGCGCAGCACAGTCCTATTTCTGGTGTCTGAGCTCTCTTGGTTCTGTGAGTCCTGAAAGCCCTTGTCTTGCTTCTTCTCCAAGCCAACTCTTCCTCCTACCCCTTTTCTAAGTCTCTAGGGAAGAAGCTCTTTTAATCTCCCCTTGCCGGATCAATTTATCACCCTGTTCTCCCCATACATGTGCTATTGTCATTTTCCGTCTGCCCCCTTCATCCTCATCCTCTCTGAAGAGGAACAGGGCTACCTCCTGCCGGGTGGAAGGACAGTTCTGAAAGGTCTTGGAGTCCTGGTGCAAATTTCCTGCAGCTTTTGATGTAATACACAGAGCAACCACTAGAGAGAGTGTGGACCTCACTGCAGGACCATTCAGTGTACATTTGGGGAGTGTGTGTGAAGGGGGGGCAGGGAGGGAAGGAGAGGAGAGAAGGAGTCTAGAGACCCACAGACAGACACAGGGAGAGAGGAGGGAGTGTAGGGGTATATTTCTTCTCTGACTTCTCCAATTCAGGGGCCTTTATCCCCTTGGTTCTTCAACCTCTTACCTCCTACCTCCAACCTTCCAGTCTTTTATTCATCATCTGTCCCCTCTGACCTCTCATACATAATTATTTGCACTTGACTGACTTGAACTTGCTCTATACCTCTGGGCCTTTGCACATGCTGTTCCTTCAGTAGAAAAGCAGCTCTGCCTGCATCAGAAAGCACTATTTGGTGGTGATGGCATATTTTGGGCCATGCCCAGTTGTCCTCAGGGGTCACTCATAGTTGTGCTCAAAGAACCATATGTAGTACCATGGATCGAACCAGGGTCAGCCATATGCAAGGTAAGTGCTTTAACCCCTGTACTATTTCTTTGGTCCTAGACTTTGTTCTCCCTTCACTTTCTCTTTGAGGTCTCCAGACTGATCTTGTCCCTAAGTGTTATAGATCTTTACTACTGGGCAAGCCCAACCTACAAGAGCCATCAGCAAATGCATGTGAAGTTACCAGCTTAGTTCTCTGAGAGCAAGAATCTTCGCATCCCCTTTTGCACTGGGCCCTCCCTGGGCCTGACTCCAGGACAGTCTTCTTTCCCAGGTTGCGGGGTCCAAAGGCTGCACACGGGAGAGTGAGGTCACACAGAACTGTGCCCAGGTTCGCCACTCTCTGACCTTGGGCAGCCCAGCAGCTGCCCAAGTGTTTCCTCTCTCTCCACTTGGGAACACCACACTTGGGCCCTGCCTCCTGGCGAGGATCAAATGAGATGATGGCTGTGAACCCCCTCCAGCATTAATCAATTAGGTGTCCTCCCCTCCCATGAACTTGGAAATAAAATTGCCCTCTGAGTCTTAAGCCAGTAAAATCCACGCATCACAGAGAAGAGCCAGGTGGGGGAGCGAATGAGGCGAGAGATGGTTTTGTAAACGACTGAAGAGTTTGTGAACAGTGGAAGCCGCAATCAAGGTGACCCGCCTGTAATCTCAGGGAGGCAGGGCGAGGAGGATGTGATTGAAACGGAGAAAACACAGGCCTAATCAATTGCATTGTGCTCTATCTGAAGGGAACAGAAGGATGCTCAGAAACAGGGTAGAGGGAGAATTCATCCAGCTGCACCAGGGGGTACACGGGAGCCAGGGATGCAGGTGCTCCGAGGGGCTGTGAGGGTGCTGGTCTTTGCTGAGAAGCTGTGGACCCCTGGGGCCTTCCAGGCAGCTCCCTGTGTTTGGAGGCCTTTCCTTAAACCAGGGGGTGACCAGGTGGCAGGCTGAGCCACAAACGCCAGACAAGAAGGCTCTTTGTACCACAGAGACTCTAATTAGACTTAGAGACTTAGAGATTTTGGATTCAGTCACCGGGTTCAAGCCCCTGCTCTGACACTTGTCCAATAACCTATTTTTAAATTTTTTTTTTTGCTTTGCCTCTATCCCTGACCCTTATCCGGTAGATGAGGCTTCAGGAGCCTTCTTGCAGGGTTCTGTGAAGACAGGGTGGCAGCATCAGGCACTGATCAGGACGCCTGGCACAAAGTTACCTCTATATGATAACGACCAAGAGGGCTAGCATTTTCTTGGAGCCTTTTGTTGCCATTTCACAGATAAGAAGCTGGAGGTTTCAAGCAATGAACTCTTTGCACAAGACCACACTGGCAGTGAGTGGAGGTGCAAGATTCGTACCAGGAACTGTAGCTTCAGGACTGTGCCTTATCTCATTACCCCATGCCAGGTGGAAGCGCCAAGCCTCTGGCTTTTGTGAGTTGGGTTGGCACGCTGAATGAACACAACTGACCCTCTGTAGACTTTTTGTTTTTGCCCCACACCCAGGGCTGCTCTCGGGCAACACATGACACTGTGCTGGGGGTTACTCCTAGTGGTGCTCAGGGAGCCGGTGGGGGTGGGGGGGTTGAGTGCTGGGGATTAAAACCAGGTCTCCTACCTACAAAGCATGTTCTCAGCTGGTTGAGCTACTGCTCCAGCCCATCAGCAGAGATCTAATAAGCGGGTTATTGATATTAATATTCCTTCTCCCCAGCCTGAATGAGAACTGCTCCAGGGTGGGGACAAACAAACACAGGCCTTGTCTGTCTGTGCGTGTGATTCTGGTGTTCTGCCTGTTAACAGTCCCTCACGGAATTCACCTTTGGGAATGTTTGCCAGTCACAGCCATTCCTGGCTCTGGGCCCTGTGGTCAGTCAGGGGCCTGGATCTTCCGGAGGGAGAGGTTCTAATTCCAGGTTCCTCTGATTTACCCAAGGAAGCATGTCCACTGCTGAGCTGTGTGGGGGTGGGCAGGAGAAGGGAAGCTATTGTCAAGCCCCCCCCACCCCCTGCCCACCATACACCCATATGCGTCTCCAGGTGTGACCACACAGGAAACTGCCTCTGAGGTAGACATTTGTGAATGTGTGAGGGCGTGGATCTGACCCCCGGCCCTGCCTTCCTCCCCACCTCCCACTGCCAGGAAAAGGCAGGCCCAAAGAAACTGCCTCAAACTTCTGCCCAAGACTCATGCAGGTTGTCTCTGCCCTGAGTGATATCTACTGGGTCAAGCTAATTCTCAGGCCTCTTCTTCCCCTCCCTTTGCCTCTTTGGGGGTGCTACTCAGGGTCTGTGGGGTCTTCTTCCCTGGGCGGAGGCTTTGGGTGATGCTGGTACATGTGCTGAGGGGTGGAACTGTTGACATGCAGAGAAGGGGCAGCGGGCCTCAAAACATGACTGAAAGCCACAGAATGAGACCTGGGCATCCTGATCTAGGGGCTGCTTTCCGGGGCCCTCTCACGACAAGTCCTAAAGCCATGTGGGGATGAAAACCAGGACTCTGGGTTGTCTTGAAGCACACTGTGTGCCCGGTGCTAAGGAGGCCCCTCGGGACTTCCATCCCCCCTCCTGCTCCCAAAAGCCAAAAGCAGTTCCAATGCCCACCCTTTGCCCCCAAGGGAGGGAACTTTATGGCACAAGAGTCATACTGTCATTTTTCTTATTTACAAACTCAATAACCACACATGACTCAGAGAGGTGGTGAGCCCTCAGCAAGGTACCCCCAAATCTTGGACCCTCACCTGCCCACACACAGCAAGAAAGCAACAGAGTACCCTGGCTGGAACGGCAGACACGGGAGTGTTGGGCTGGAGGGGAACTCCAGGAGGGTCTGGACAGGGAGGATGATGGGGTAGGAAAGAAGGTATTGGAGACAGTGAAGGAGAAGAGACAGCATGTGTTTGAGGCCCACACTTGGCAGTACTCAGGGTTTACTCCTGGATCTGCGCTCAGGGATCTCTCCTGGAGGGTTTGGGGGATCCTATGTGGTGCCGGGGATCGAACCAGGGTCGGTTGTGTACAGGCAAAGCACCCTACCCACTGTACTATCATTCCAGCCCCCAAAGAGATATTGGAGTGATAGCACAGCGGTAGCGCGTTCGCCTTACAAGCAGCCAACATGGCCGACCCGAGTTCGATTCCTCCGCCCCTCTCGGAGAGCCCGGCAAGCTACCGAGAGTATTCGATATGCCAGACACAGTAACAACAAAGTCTCCAATGGAGACGTTACTGGGCCCGCTCGAGCAAATCGACGATCAATGGGAGGGCCTTTACCTTTTTATTTTATAAATAAGTGAAAAAAATTTGAGCATCTCTCTCTCTCTCTCTCTCTCTCTCTCTCTCTCTCTCTCTCTCTCTTTCTCTCTCTCTTTCTCTCTCTGTTTTGGGGTAAGGAGAGAGAGCCATGGAGAAGGAAGGCAAGAGGATGGGGCAGGAAGGCAGGAAGCATATAGAGGCTTAAGTAGGAGGGAGAGAGACAGTGTTTGGGGTTGGAATAGAGAAGAGATGGTCTCTGGATCTTGGTTTGCTTCATCTTTAAAGTGAGTGGGTTGGGAGGGAGAAACAGTCTTATGTGCCAGAGTGCAGGCTTTGCAGGGGTGAGACCTGGGTTTGATCCCGGGGCTGCTTGGTCCTTTGACAACTATCAGGAGCAACCCCTGAGTACAGAGCCAGGAGTACCCCTGAGCACTGTGGAAAATGCCCCCCCCAAAAAAAAAAAAGAGTGGGTTGCCTTTGATTCATTCTAGCCAAGATGCTATAGGGTTCTAAGCCTGAGGACCTGGGATCAGAGCCTGGAGAATGGAGAGGGCTCCAGGGAGGCCCTAGAGAGGTGGTTGGTGCCAGACAAGCTATGTCTGGTCCCCAGGCTGGTACTGGGGTTCTGTGGAGGTGAAGTAGTCCTCCAGGAAGGACTGCAGGTAGTCAAAGGTTGGCCTCTCCTCAGGGTCCAGACGCCACGTCTGCTCCATGACCTCGTAGAGGGATTCCGGGCAGCCGGGGGGACACGGCATATGGTAGCCGTGCTCTACCTGTTCCAGCACTTCGCGGTTATTCATGCCTGCAAGATGGGGCTCTGTCAGTCGGGGGGAACCAGTCTTGATGCCAGAGACCCAGACCCCCGCCACCACCTCTTCATCATCCGGCAAACCTGGGTAAGGGACTCGGCCCTTGCTGATGAGCTCAGTGAGCAGAATCCCAAAGGACCACACATCCGACTTGATGGTAAATCTGCCGAAGAGGGCAGCCTCTGGGGCCGTCCACTTAATGGGGAACTTGGCACCTGGAGAGAGGGAGAAAGAAGGAAACTTCAGCGGTGGGGGCGGAGGGGGATTTCTCAGAGAATAACCGGATGAAGACATTGGGGGCATTAGCATTGGGAATCCTGAGCACAGAGGTCTCTGGGGTAAGACAGGCCCTTGTATCTTTCCAGCCCTTTCTATGTGTCTAGTATAGTGTTGGTTTTTTTGCAAACATTGTTAATATTTCTCACCATAGTAACAGTAACACTTGCAAAAACACTGTTTGGAGAGATGTACTTGCTTTTATTCAGGTAACCTTTCACGAGGTAGATATCCCAGCTATAAAGATGAGGTTCAGGGGACTATAAGAGGCTGGGATATCTATCCTGACTGGTGTGTGGATTTCACACCTTTACATTCTATTGTTTCACTAGAGAATGGGGACAATGGCTGACCCATAGCTGGTGTTTGGTAACGGTCAAAGTATTTTCCTCTTACCCATGAAAAATAGGGCAGTTCACAGAGATTAGGTGACTCACCCAAGACCATATAGCTAATAAGTGAATAAATGGACAGCTGACCTCAGAGTTGCCTCTTATATACCATCAGGATGGGCCTATCCCCAAAGATCTGGCACTGGGAAAGTTTTCCTAATTGGTGGGGTCCCAGAGCCACCTTCTAGTGCATTGGGGGGTTCTTGGAAGGTGGGGTGAGTCAGGGCACCTTGTCGTGGGTTGTATTCATCATCCTCAATGAGACGGGCCAGCCCAAAATCCGCGATCTTGCACACCAGCCGCTCGCCCACCAGGATGTTGGCAGCCCTCAGATCTCGGTGGATGTAGTTCATGCGTTCCATGTAGGCCATGCCCTCTGCTACCTGGGGCCAGAGGCGGAGAGATGGGAACGCCTTTGAACAACTCCTCCTTTTCAGATGAGGAGACTGCGGTTCAGGTCACAGAGGTGCAGCGGACGGGGCAGCTGGCACCAGGCTCTGAGGGCCCAGGGGTTAGGGAAGGGGTTAGGAAGGAGGCAGAGGTCTGCAAGAAATAGCTGCAGTCCCCGATTACCTGGGCTGCCATGTCCACCAGGTGGGGCAGGCTCAAAGCCTGGCCTCCCTGGTCCTTGAGGAAATCCAGCAGGCTACCTGCAATGAGGAAGCCAGAGAATCAGCAGCAAGACCCTCCCCCAGCCTTCAGCCTTCTCACTTCCGCCTGCCCCACTCAGGGCCCCACCAGTGCCGCAAGCCCTCCCACAGTTTGCGCAAACCCTCGACATCTAGATTGGATTTAGCTCTTTTTTCCTCTTTCTCCCCCTCTCTCTTAACGCCCCCCCCCAAAGTCATGCAGACACCTTTAGACCCTTCCCACCTCCCAGATCCAGGGCCCAAGCCAGAACCCGCCTTGCCGGTTGGCCCCGCCCTGCGGCGCTCAGCCCTGGGACCCCCTCCCCCTCGACCCGCACCGTTGCACATGAACTCGGTCACGATGTAGATGGGCTCCTCGGATACCACTGCGTACAGCTGCACCAGCTTGTCATGACGCAGCAGCTTCATGATCTGCGCCTCTTCCAGGAAGGCCTTCGGAGCCATGGTGCCCGGCTTCAGCGTCTTCACGGCCACCTTCGTGGTACCATTCCATAAACCTGTCAGAGGGGCAGCCGCAGCTGGTCAGGACCCCACCCCCTGCTCCGCCCGGACTCCCGGCCCTGCACCCCCTCCCCAGCCCCCATACCCAGCCACACGTCCCCGAAGCAGCCGGTGCCCAGCCGTTGCTCCAGCGTAATGGAATCGCGGCTGATTTCCCAGGCGTCCTTCGCCAGGCCCAGCATCTGTGGCTTCATGGTGGTGCAGGGGGCCGTGAGCAGGTGACACAGGCCGTCATTCACCTCTGAGGAGAGAGGGCGGGTTAGGGGTGGGGGGTCACTGATGAGCCAGGACACCCCAGCATTCCTCATCCCACCGGGGCCCCCTAAGACCAGGGGCCACAGGTGAGGTTATTATAGTCCAGGAGAGAAGGCAGGTGAACATATTGGTGCCCAGGGAAGTAGATGGTCAGTCCTAGAGGAAGAGATGGACCCTGGAAAGACCATGGCCATCCTAGGAGGTGAGTTCCAGGTGGACCTCTGAGGATAGGGTGAGATTCAGACAGGTAGGGGGTATGGATTCCAGACAAAGATGTAGACACCAGGTCCACATACTTCTCTGGCCCTCATCCTTGGCATGATCAACTAAACTAAAACGTGGCATCTCTACCACCCTCCCTCTGCCCCCACAGCCCCTCCTCCAAGTCAGGCCTATTCTGTCTCAGGTGCAACCAACTCAATGCGCTGGGGCCACCCTTTGGTCACACACAGCCTCACATCCCAGTTTTCCCGGGAATCCTCCAGAGCGGGGACCTGGGCTGGGAGCTTTGGGTTCTAGTCCAGGCCAGGACACCCTCCCCGCCCCACTCCTCTTCCGGGCTGGGTCTTGGGAGTAGGGGTGGGGGCCCTGCAGACCGCCTCACCCATGTAGTGCTGCACCAGCTCCTGCACGGTGTCGAACTGCGCCCGCGTGGTGATGTAGTAGCCTCCCACGTCCAGCTTGCGGATCTTGTAATGCTTCACGTGCTCGCCCCTGGTCTCGTCCCAATCCAGGATAGACAGCGAGTAGGCGCCTGTGGGATGGCACACCTCAGGCCTGCTTTCCTCCTGTCCCACAGACCCCCCCCCCAACCATCGGGGAGCCAGGAGACGCCCCCAAAGCTAGAACAAAGCAGCTGCACAGCTACTTCCTTTGAGCCCACGGGGAGTCTGAGGCCTTCAGCCCTGGCCAAGTTCCACCCTAATGGGTGGTCTTCCCAGCACCCCTCCCAACCATGGGGCCCTGACAGTCTCACCTTTGGTGGTCTCGCTCTCCCGGATGAGAAAGGCCCCCTGGGGGTTGCCTGAGCTGAGCAGCTGCCTCTCAGCATCCTTCCTGCCGATCTTTCCAAAGTACCACCTGTCGGGAAGGGCCAGAAAATGTTAGACCCCGGACAACCCCCCCATCTCCGCCTCCTGGGAAAAGTCAGCCCAGAAGCCAAGATTCAATGTCCTCATGTGAGGAAAGGGGTCTGGGCCAATCATCGTGCAGGGGATTGGGGACCGTGGATGCCTGGTACACAGTAGCTGCCCATATCAATGCTCCTTTCCACTTTCTGGGTTGTTCTTAAGTGAAAATTTCTAGACCCGCCCCCAGTCACCAGCACCTTCTTGGAGTCCCTCGGTCCACCTCACCTCCACCTTCCATGGGCTCATTTCACAGGCGAGCCTCAGTGAGGATCAGTGGCTTGCCCACAGGGTCTGCTTAGTTCAGACTCAAGTCTTTGGGAAGGGGTTGTTGGGGCCACACCCAACAGTGCTTGGGGGCTGGGTAGTGCTGGGGATGGAACCCAGACAGGCACTCCAGCCCTGTGATCTGCCACACCATCCCTTCACCCGAAATCTTTCACACCTGTCTAATTTTTTTTTTTTTTTTTGCTTTTTGGGTCACACCCGGTGATGCACAGGGGTTACTCCTGGCTCATGCCCTCAGGAATTACTCCTGGCAGTGCTTGGCGGACCATATGGGATGCTGGGAATCGCACCCGGGTTGACCGCATGCAAGGCAAACGCGCTACCCACTGTGCTATCACTCCGGTTCCACCTGTCTAATTCTTTCCCCACCACCCCAGCAACCCCAGAGATCCCTCCCCACACCCATCCCCTTTGGCTTCCAGATTCACCCCCAGTTCTGTCTCTCTCTTCCCCTCTTCCCACAGCTCCTGCCTGGCTCTGACTACTTCACTCTTATTTGTTTTGAATTTATTTATGTGTATGTGTGTGGGGGGGGGGGGGGGCGTTGGGGCTGCATCCAGCAGTGTTCAGGGCTAACTCCTGGCTCTGAGCCCAGGGATCACTCCTGATGGGGTTCAGGGAACTATATGTAGTGCCAGGGGTTGAACCCAGGTTGGATGAGTGCAAGGCACACTCCTTACCCACTGTACTATCTCTCCAGCCTCTTGTTGTTAGAAGTCATGATTATTTTAAAATCCCCCCTCTCCTTTGTTATCGCTACTCTTGCTGGGGTGACTACAATGACTTGCACAAGTGCTCACCTACAGTTCAGGTGTGGTGTCACACATTTGGGCTGAAGTGCTCACTCGGTGCAACACAGTTGGTTGCAGTGTCCCACACATCTGACTGTGCCATGCCAGGGACCATAGGCTCTGTTGTGGCACCAGAGACCCCAAACAGCTGAGCTGCGGGGTTCACGTCTGGACATGTGGGACAAACCTCACGGTTTTGCAAAAAAAGTGATCCCCAGGCCCACTTCACTATTTATTTATTGGTTTGGGGGCCACACCCAATGATGCTCAGGGGTTACCTCTGGCTCTGTACTCATTAATTACTTCTGGCAGTGCTCAGGGGACCATATGGGATGCCGGGAACTGAATCTGTGTCGGCTGTGAGCAAGGCAAATGCCCAACCCTCTCTGCTAGTCCAACCCCCAGTGCTTTATACTTTCCTCTTTTAGATGTGGATATTGTTTCAGTTTATAAGTTTAGTCAATCTTAGTCTCAAGATTCCTGTTCTCTCTCTCTCTTTCTTTCTCTCTCTCACTCTCGTCCTTATTTCCTCTCCCCACCTATCTCTCTCTCTCTCTCTCTCTCTCTCTCTCTCTCTCTCTCTCTTTGGAGGGAATATCAGGCAGTTCTCTCTTCCTTGCTCTGTGCTCAGGAATGACTTCTGGCAGTTCTTGAGGAACTATATACAGCATCAGGGATTGAACAAGGCTCAGCTGTATTGCCAAGCAATACCTATACTTCTTCTCCAGATCCCTGCTCTTGAATATTCTTCCTGGGACTGAACTATAGCCTTAAAACCAACAGTAAAGTGTAGCACTGTAGCACTGTCCTCCCGTTGTTCATCGATTTGCTCAAGCGGGCCCAGTAACGTCTCCATTCTGAGACTTGTTGTTACTGTGGCATATCAAATATGTCACGGGGAGCTTGCCAGGCTTTGCTGTGCGGGCGAGATACTCTCAGTAGCTTGCCGAGCTCTCCAAGACGGGTGGAGGAATCGAACTCAGGTTGGCCTGGCTGGCCATGTGCAAGGCAAACGCCCTACCCACTATGCTATCACTCCACAGTATATTATTAAAGTGGGAGAGATGGATGATGTGATCACACATGCCATAGTAGAATTATCACTGAATTGGCCTGTGATACTTTGGGGCTGAAGTAAGAGAAGCACAGCCTTCAAAGCAAAGGAGGTGGAAATCTCAGAGAAGCTTGGACGGTCAATCAATGTCTGAGTACCAGGCACAAAATGGAGGAAAGCAGTGGCAGGAGCAGTTCCCAGGAGAGCTGGCAGGACTGGGGGAGGCACTATTGAAGGACTATAGAAAGAGCACACATTCTCAAATTTTTCGAAGTCCTGTCCTCACCCACACCCATGACTTTAGGTACTTCCTTAAAAATTAATATAGGAAAGAGCAACAGCACAGCGATATGGTGTTTGCCTTGCATGCGGCCGACCTGGGTTCGATCCCTGGCATCCCTGATGGTCCCCTAAGCCCCACCAGGGGTGATCCCTGAGTGCAGAGCCAGGAAAAGGCCCTGAGCACAGCTGGATATGGCCCCCAAACAAAAACAAAATATATAATAACAACACCTATTTTGTGTCAGGCTTTGCTTGAATGCACCTGAGTATTCACTTAATTCTTAGAGCACTGTTGTGAGGTAAAGTACTATTATTAGACGGATGGGGACATTGAGATGCCTAGCGGAGTACCATTAGACGGATGAGGAAATTGAGGTCCCGAGCAGTTCTGAGCGGTGCAGCTGCAATAGAAGCCGCGCTGTCTGCTGAGCGTCTCCCCATGCACAGCCCTGTTCTTCGCCACCACCCTCAGCTGATTCGGGCTCCACATCCTGCTCCCAATGTGGACACCAGCAAGGACTCCTAACCGCCCGTGCTCTGCATCCTCCCCACCCCTCCCCACCTCCATGCCGCCCACCTGCGCTCCAGGCCCCCTCCCCTCCTCTCTGCTCGAAGACCCGGCTCCCCGCACCGAGAGCCTCCATCTGCAGCCTCTCCAATGCCACCAACCTCTACATCTGCCCCGTTTCGCTCCTCCCCGGAGGAAGCCGTGGCAAGCCTAGCTTGCCATCAACATTCTGCTCCATCTCTCACCTTCTCTTCACTCGAAAAAGCGCTTCACACTTGGTCCCCACTTCCTCACCTCCTCCTCCCTCCCAGGCTCCGCTGTCTGCCCTCCACCTCCACTTCTCAAGGAGAGCTCTCTCACCAAGGTCACCCCATTGCCAAATTCAGTGACAGCCTCTGCCGCACGCCCCCCTTCTTCCCCGAAGCCGCTTCTCCCCGCTCTTGGCGGCTCTCTCTCGCCGGGCCTGGTCTGTTCAGCCTTGCCCTGCCACCAGCTTCCTTTCCTGCCTGGGTGCATGGCTCGCCCCCAGGTTGGCGACGCAGCCAGCCTCTCTCTCTCACCCTCTTCTCTGCCCTGAAGAGTCCCAAGTGCCCCCTGGTGTGCCCACTGCAGAGCCACAGCTACAAGCCTGGAACCCCAGTGTCCTTCAGGAAAAGGCGCCTCATCCTCCAGGCCCAGTTTGGCCTTGGACAGAGCACCTCCTGCACGAAAACACAGCCTGCTCAGAGGACAGGCGGTCTCTCCTGCACCCCAGCTCAGCCCAGGGTTCCTCTCCACGAACCTCGACTCGAAGCCTTTCCCCTGAGCCCCCATTTTTGGACCTGCTTCTGTGTTCCCTGCTTTAGCACACGGCACCATCACCCACTCAATTTCTCAAGAAGACGTGGGGTCACCCGAGGTCCTCGCACTCCCTGAGCTCCCTGACAGACCAGCCAGCCAATGTGGTGACCCCCGCTCGCGGTCTCTGGGATCTTCATTTCCTCGCACATGTAGAGGCTTGAGGATACGCAGAAACGGTCACCTCAAGCTGACGCTGCCCCGTACAGCAGTGTGGCAGGATTTGAGGGAGAGAGGGCCCATGGTCATATCTCACATAAAAATACTTTGAATGGTGTTTCCCTCTCCTTAAGAGAGTGCATTTTATTTATTTATTTATTTATTTATTTATTATTTTAGCTTTTTGAGTCACGCCCTGTGATGCTGAGGGCTTACTCCTTGGCTCTCACTCAGGGAATACTCCTGGCAGTGCTCGGGGGACCATATGGGATGCTGGGGATCCAACCCTGGTCAGCCACGTGCAAACACCCTACCCGCTGCACTGTTGCTCCAGCCCCAAGAGAGTCCATTTTAGTGGTCCCTGTGGTACTCACTTAGCGCTTGATTATTTGGTTTGGGGGTGGCTACACCCAGCAGTGCTCAGGGGCTATTCCTGGCTCGGTACTTGGAGGGTCACTCCCAGAGGTGCTTGGGCCCAAGAGGTGATGAGAATTGAAACCTAGGCTCAGCCCATTGAACTCTCTCTATGACCCTTACACTTAAAGTCCATACACCTTTGTTGTTTAGCAAATGTAGCCCAGCTGTCTGGATTCAAACACCAGCTCTTCCTACTTACTACCCGTGAAGTCAGGCAGGATAGTTTATTCCTCGGTGCCTCAGTCACCTCATTTATAAAACAGGGTACTCTTTGTTTCTCCTTTAATACACAGAATAATGCCCAGGACAGATATGCCAGAGAAGTGTGCTGTGCTCTGATTCATACTGTGACTTCACTAAGCGACAGATTCAGAGTGGGGCTGTGACTTGCCCAAGAGGTAGCCTGGAATTGGGGATTTCGGCGCCCTATCCATCAGGCTGTCCGCCCCCTGCCCCTACTCACTCTTCAGCCTGGATGGAGTCCACAGGGGCCACGTAGTTGCTGGGAATGAAGCCAGTCTCTCCGGAGCTGAGGGATCGGGCCTCCCACCAGTCACCCTCGCTGCAGAAAAAGGGGGTGGGGAAAGGGAAAAAGAAAGAGGAGGAGGGAGAGGGGGAAGAGAGGGAGAGAGAGAGACAGAGAGAGAGAAAGGGGGGGAGAAAGAGAAAGGAGGGAGAGAGAGAGAAAGAGAGAGAGAGAGAGAGAGAGAGAGAGAGAAGAAAATCGTCTTCCACCCATATGCTGGGAGTGGGTGGAAAACCGAGGATATTGGTTTGGTGGCGGGAAATAACGTACACTGGTGAAGGGATGGGTGTTACACAGTGTACGACTGAAACTCAATCATGAATAACTTGGTAACTGCGTGTCTCATGGTGATTCATTTGAAAAAATAAAAATAAGGAGGGAGGTTGGGGAGTGTCATGACAACTCGGTCCCTGGGGTACCTCGGAGCCAGATCACAGGGGGGACCAGGTAGAGGTGGCCCAGCTGTGCACACCCCAGGCTGCATCTGCTCTGTCCCAGGCTGTCAGGTCACATCCTGCAGAAGTCCTGTGTCTGGGCACTTGGGGCCCCTCGGCTTTCTCTCGAGCCCCTCAGCAGGACTGGCCAGCAAACTAGGTCACTTCCCTCCCCAAAATTCCCTAATGGTTGCACATTTCCTTCTGAGTAAAAGCCAGACTCCTCGATTCCTTAAAAAGCTCTGTAGTCTGTTCCCACCCACCCCTCCAGCTTCTAGTCCCCGTGCTGTACCTCACGCTTTCGAACACACCTGGGCTGAGCCACTCGGTGGTTTCCAGACGTGTCGTTATTTATTTTCATTTTCTCTTCCCCTCTTCTCATCTTTTCCTTCAATGCCAATTCATTTTATAGTCTTAGCTTAGAAATCACCTCTTCCAGGAAGCCTGCCCTCATTGCCACTACCCTGGGAACCCTGTTTGGTGCTCTTTCTGGGCCCACAGTTTGTTGTGTGCTCCCTCCACTGAGTAGCGTTCCCCGGAGTAGTTATTGCCCTGTGTCTGGGTCCCCCAGTGAGGCGGAACTGTCTGGAAACAGAGCCCAGTTAGGATTCCCCTCTGCGGCTGCACCAGCCCCGACTGCCAGCTTGTCACTTACATGTTGTTGAGGATGTGGAACTTTTCACCTTTAGTGAAAGTGAGGTCATCGCCTGTCCGGGCATTGTAGTCATAGAGGGCGATGAACAGGGTCACTCCAGTCCCTGCAAAGTCGGGATGCACAGCTGAGCAGGGCTTGGGACAGAGGGCGCTACGGTGGTCACGCCCTCGGGGAATCTAGTCCTGGCTTGGTGCCGGGCCGCCCCCAGGCTGAAATCTTGGTTCCCAGGGGCCTTTGCAGTCAGGTAGTAATAAGGCCCTCCCGTTGATCGTCGATTTGCTCGAGCGGGCCCAGTAACGTCTCCATTGGAGACTTTGTTGTTACTGTGTCTGGCATATCGAATACTCTCGGTAGCTTGCCGGGCTCTCTGAGAGGGGCGGAGGAATCGAACTCGGGTCAGCCATGTTGGCCGCTTGTAAGGCAAACGCCCTACCGCTGTGCTATCGCTCCAGATTCAGACTTAGTCTTCACTGCTCGGCCCCTTTTGTCCTTCCTCCCATAGGAGTCCCCGGATCACCCACTCCTCCCCCCATCCAGCCGAGTGCCAAGCTAGGAGTGGGGGTGCCAGGGGTTCTCCTGGCCACCTGCCCCTGGCATCAGGGTCATCCCTAAAAATGGCGCTGTCTGCCCCTCAGCCTGGGAATTTGAGGGGTGCCCACATCAACTCCCTCAAGCCGCATGCGAAACAGGCCTTTCTCCCACGTCCTAAGGATGAGCCCAAGCCTCCCCCCTTCCCTCTGATTCGACAGGGTCTGGGCAGCACCTGCCCCCACCCTGCTGGACTCACCTGAGATGCCCCTGAGGTTGCCCCCATCGAGGAAGGGGGTCCCGGCAGACTGAGGGGAGAAGCTGTTCTGGTTGTGGGTGTGGGTAAAGGAGGACACAGGCTTGGCCTGAGTCGGGTCGGGACCATAGCGGTCAGCAGCCCCCGAGTCCCTGAAGTCCCCTTCCAGGTCAGCATCCTGCTTGGATTCCGTCTCCGACTTCTTGCAGAACACACAGCCCATTCCGGGTGCCCTGTTACAGAACGGGGTGTGCCTCACTGGGAGCCCAGCAGAGGCACTACCCTCCGCACACCTGCACTCACACACAGCCCCTCAGCCTTGCGGGGTTGGGGGGACGCGCCCTAGAGAAAGGGCGGGCAGGGCCCTGTGCTGCCTCTGGAGAGAGACGTCCTATCTTCCGGGGCTCTTTCCTGCTCAGGACAGTGCTCTGGTTCTCCACATATTTCCATCTGTTGCTTCGCTAAGCTGCCCCATGGCACTCTAGGTGTGACCGTGTGTGTGTCTTTTGCAGGTTTCAAAGTATTTGCTTGTGTGTGAGGAGGAACGTGCAGAGTCCTCTCTGTGAACATCTGTGTGTGTGCATGGGAATATGTGTGCTCCCCCAAGTGAAGGCTGTGTGTGTGCTCAGGTTTGTGTGGGTGTGTGCTGCAGCGTGGGTTTCTGTGTGTGTGTGTGTGTGTGTGTGTGTGTGTGTGTGTGCCTGTCTCCCTGTGCTCCTCTGAACATGCAGGTTTTGTGAGTCGTGATCATATGATACCCCTATATGGGTGCACATAAGCCTGTCCATATGTGTCTGTGTGTACCTACATCTGTGTGCATGTACCTGGTATCTGTGTATATCCACATATATCTCTCTATGTGTATGTAATGTGTCTGTGTATATCCGTGTGTATCTGTATCCCTGTGTACCCATGTGTTGTATTCGTGTGTGTCTGTCTGTGATTGTATCAGTTAGTATCCGTGTGATGTGTTTGTGTGTCTGTGTGTGATGTATTAGTATCAGCGTGATGTATCTGTGTGTGATGTGTCTGTATGTATCTCTGTGATGTGTCTCTGTCTACCTGTATCTGTGTACATCTGTGTGATGTATCCCTAATGTATTCATGTGTGATGCGTCTGTGTGATGGGTCTGTGTGTGTCTGCATCCCTGTGCATCTGTATGATGGATCTGTGTTTCTGTGTATGCTGTATCAGTTAGTATCTGTGTGATGTGTCTGTGTGATGGGTCCCTGTGAATCTGTGAGATGCACATGTGTATGTGTATATCCATCCGTGTCTGTGCATCCGTGTGCATCTGTGTGCAGTGAATAGATGTGAGTCTGCACATTAGCGCTAGGGAGTGAGTGCTGGAGATTCCCTGCAGAGGGGGATCAAGGCCATTTCCTGTCATGGGTCCAGCCTCTGGCCTCTCAAGCTGCCTCATTCTGGCTCCCCCATCTGTTACCTAGCAACAAGGCCCTTGGAGGAGGAGGGGGCTGTGAAGAGTTGTGGGAAGGCCACCCCCCTCGTTTCCTGACCCTGAAAGAAACATTCACCACTCACCCCTCAGGCCCCTACTCCTGGGTCAGTGGGGCTGTGGCATGGTCCTTGGGAGGCGCCTGAGACCTGAGAGGCGACAGGAGGATGGAGATGAGGCTCTGCCTGCTGCCCAGCTGCCCGGCTCCTGCCCTCGCCAGGAAGCCAGACGCCCACGCTTTGTCCAGCACACCCTCTGCCTTCGATTTCCTCCCAGCACCCCTGGAACACATACATGTCCCCCACCAGCTGTCTCCACCAGATCCCTCACGCGCATACACACCGACACCCCAACAGTCAAGAACACACCCCAGCACACTCACAACACTGAGCATGCTCGCCAGCACCACTCCACACCAACACAAATTGAGTCCCAGCACGATGGCACGCAGATATGCGTGCACACGCACACACATATGCACGCACGTGCACACACATGCAGCACACATGTGGGCACGGGCGCAAGCACGCGCGTGCGCGCGCACACACACACACACATACACACACACATACACACACACATACACACACACACACACACAAGTGTACTCCAGCTGCCTCTCCCATTAGCGACCACTCACGTTCTCCTTACACCATCTCCCTAATTGAATTTCTCTCCTGCTGTGCTCAGCCCACTCACAGGCAGCCAGTGACTGGCTCCTAATGGGCCCTTCACCAGCCTCAGCCTCTGCTCCCAGCCTGAGAGGAGACCCCCCCCATCACCCTGCAGCAGCTCCGGGGGTATATTTCCAGCAAAGCTGACAACACCTACCGCCAGAACAGGCTCCGAGTTCCACCTCAGGGGAAAGCTCAAGTCAGAAGGTAACCTGGGGGAGACCCCCTGTAAGACTCCCTGTGAGCCCAGCTTTTCTGAACAACAAGGCAGGGGATCATTGAGCAAGGCTTCCCCACGCCCAGCCAGAAATTCTGTCATTGCAACATTCAGAGAGGAACTGCTGGGGAGAGGGCTTGGTTTCCTGAGATGTGAGCAGAATGTTACCAGGTGGGGTCAGTGAACCCCAGTTCTCCAATGGTCCGAGCGTTCTTGGGGAACCACTCCTTGTACTGCCTTCCACCTATGGTGCTGGGGACCAAATCCTCGGCCTCACACACACAGGGCAAGTGCTCGACCGCTGAGCTACATCTCTGACCCTTGCGCTGCCTTTCTCAACCCCCAAGTTCCCTTAGAAAGAAGATTCTTCTCTTTTTTCTGCTCCCACCCCCGCCCATGCAACCCCACTCACCTCTTCCAGGAAGTCTTCCTGGATCCCCAATGGCTGTGTGTGGATCCTGAATCTGCTGTAGCCCCACTAGCACCTCTCAGGGGTCACTGTAACTATGCTCCCATGTGTGTTGGCGGGGTAGGTGATACCCCTGTGGCAAGTCATGAGGCGGGCTGTGGTGAGAGGCCTGCCTGAAAATAGCCACGGCAAGCGGAGAGCTGCACCCAGGACCTCTCCCCGGGGGCTAAAACCACATGTCTGAAATTAGGGCCAGGGGAGGGGGTGGGGAGGCTGCGGGGAGCAGGGAAGGGGCTTCAGGTACTGAGGGGCGGGAGGGGGAAGATGACAACAAAGACAGCATCTGAGACTGGAGGGCTCTCCACAGCCCCCCAACATACTGCTAGGCCCCACACAGCACCTCTCACAGACGCTGAGCTCCTTAGCACACATCTCAAGAAGAGCACCCCCCCCTCTGTGTGCAGAGGCAAGCATGCTCCCGTGCACACATGCACACATAGATAGGCACACAAGTTCTCCACAGCACTCACGGAAATAGTAGTACTGACGTGCACTAAACACTTTACGTATATCATTTCGTTCCATTTCAACCCCATGGGGTAAGTTAGCTAGCTATTTAGTGAATTTGCTTTGGAGACTACGCCCAGTGGTGCTTGGGGGTGACTCCCAGCTCTGTTCTCGGGGGACGGTTTGGTGCCAGGATCAACCAGGCTTCTGGATGCAATGTGCTCTGGCTGTTGAGCTATCTTTCGACCCTGTAATAAAGATTAACAATAATAATAATAATACATGTGAGACACAGAGAGGTTTAGAAACTTGCCCGAGGTCAGAGATGATGTACCCTGGTGTTTGGTTCCGCAATCTGAGCCGTTTCTCTCTATACCTTGTCACAGACACGAGTAATGACAGTCATCCCTTCAAGCATGCCCAGATGCTCCGAGCCCCGTGGGGACAGAGATATGCACAGCAGCCTCTCTCCTCCCCACCCCATCACAGACCCAAGCAAATCTCCCCTGTATAAAAGGACACAGACATCGCCAAGCCTTGGACCCCATGTTTTTATAATGCTGCCACTGCCAGTAACACCTGGGCTCATTTCTGCAATGTTTCCAGATACGTCTACAGGGAATAGTGTGTGTGTGTATGTGTGTGTGTGTGTGTGTGTGTGTGTGGGATTGGGGGGCAGGGGGGCAGCCTCTGGGAAGGAGGCAGAGAGCTGTGCCAGCAGAGGAGGAGCTGGCAGGCTGGTGGCGGTGGGCGGTTCCCAGGCCTGATGTGAACTACAGCCCTGGGCGAAGCCTGACTCTCTGGCACCAGGATGCTGGGAAGGGGGAGGGAAGCTGGAGGGGTGGGATGTGAGTGTGAGACACGGGGTCTGGCATCAGCAACGAGGGGCCCACCGTGCATGTGGCTTTAATCAGAGGAAGAGATGAGCGAGAAAAAAAAAAAGAGGCAGAGACAGAGATGGAGAGATAGAGAGACAAGAGCAAAGACAGGCAGAGAGAAGCATCACGTGGTTTGCTGGGACACGGGCTGACTCTGGGAAAGGGACAAAGGAAAAGCCCTGATTGGTGGCACTTGCCATTTCCTCGGTGTAAAGATTCCCACCATGGAACATTTCAAGTCACAGAAGGAAGCGACTGTTTGACACCGGGCTGGGAGGAGATTCACGGAATCAGTTCCCCAGAGCTTGCTGCGCCAGCGCACCATGGCCAGAAAGAACAGAGGCAGAAACGGGAAGTAAAAAGACAAAACAGAGAGACAGAGACAGGAAAGGAGAAAGGCAGAGAAAGGCAGAGGAAAAGACAGACCCAGCGCCAAAGAGACAAGAGGAAGACAGCAAAGGAGAGGCGTCTGGGTGGTGTCGGCTGGAACCGGCTGGAAGGGCCCTCGGGACGCCTGTCTCAGCCTCCCGAGCTCTGATCCCAAATGCCTTCAGGGAGTGGTTTGACTTTCTAGAAGTCTGGGTAGCAAGAACTATTAGGACAAAAATCTGCTCATTTATTAAGTCCCTATTCAGTTTTCCTGACACTGCACCTAGCAATTTCCACACACAATCTCATTTAGAGACCCTATGAGGTGGTTTTAGGCTTACCTCCGATTTACAAATAAGAAAACAGAACCATAGAGATGTTAAACAACATCCCCCAAATGGCAAGGCAAGTAAGGGGAAACTGAAATGGAGCTATAATTACCTTGGCTTGAAGGCACTGCATTTTGGGGTGGTTGGGGGTGGGGTAGGGGTATGGACATGGGGGGGGGGGGCGCACATCTGGCTATGCACTCAGGGATCTCTCCTGGCACAGCTCAAGGAACCATACAGGGTGCTGGAGATCAAACCCTGGGTCAACCACAAGCAAAGCAAATGCCCTGTCCACTGTACTACCACTCTGGCCCCAGCACTGCATTTTTAACGCTGTTGTTCTACAGAAACAATAACAGATGTCTTGTATTGAACAGTTACCTGTGCTACATGCCCTAAATCTTGAATTAAGTCCTCAGAGGAAAATGACTTGCCCATAGTCTCTCAGGCAATGACTGACTTTCATAACCCTTACAATCAAAATTTCTTTTTTTTTTTTTTACGGGGGTGAGGGATGCGCTGGGCCATCCTCAGGGCCTCCTCCCAGCTCTGCTCAAGGCTCACTCCTGGAAGTACTCAGGCGACCATATGTACTGGGGATCCAAACCAACCTGGGTTGGCTTCATGCAAGGCACACACCTCACCCCTGCACTATCTCTCTGGCCCCATGAGTGCTCTTCCCCCATCCCTCCCAAAAGAGTGAGTGGTAAGCAAAATAATTGTGAGAAAGTCCGTGTAGGAACCTGGGCCTGTAAGGACCACCTCTCCATCAGCTGGCAGGTGGGAACTGATAACAGACTCTCCTCCAGGTCAAAATCAAGCGGAAAGTCTCAGGGCTGAGGTCTGCCCCTTGGCCGCAGGGCTCCATCCTCTCAGCTCAGCCCTCTGTGTGGTACTGTCCAACCCTGAGATCCTGGCTTACGCCCGCTGAGCCTCACTTTCACACTTGTACCTTCTGAGCTGTTTGGGCGGAAGGCTTGATAAACTGTGGCTTCTGCCCAGTGTGCAGTGACCAAGTACGGCTGAGAACCACAGGCAGAAAAACCAGATGGGCCCCAGACACCATTTCTCATCCTCCCACCTCCCCCGGCAGTGTAGAGCGGAAATGACTGTCCGGAGAGCCGGACAGCAGATTGGAAGCCAGAACCCTTTCATTCAGGTCCAGGAAAGTGTCCCCAAACTGTGGCTGTGTTCTCCAAAGCCAGAGGAGGAGGTCAGGCTGTCCCTGGTGGTGAACGTCATATTTCCTACCCAGCCCTGGGCCAACTGAACACATCATTCTTGCTATGGCCACACCTCGGGCCGCCCACCACACCCATCCCTGCTCTCGGATGGGGGAGCCCCAGGTCCCACCCATCCCTTCTTAAGGTCCACACTGGCCGAAGCCAGGTCAGGGCTTTGATGGAAACCCAGGGTTTCCTGTCCCCCTCATCCTTCCAAGCACCCGTGGGCTCTGAAGGCTGAGCTCCAGGTTCTACTTGACCTGCCAGCTAGCCTGAGTCCTGGGTTAGTCGGATCATCTCTCTGAGCGGCCGCTTCTTCTTATGTTCATAGTAGCCATTGTCGGCAGTGTAGGGGGACCACGGGCCAGAGACTGAACAGGGCCTCACACGTGCTAGCCGTGTGCTCTGCCACTTGAGCCACCTACCTAGTCCTGAGCACCAGTGTATTTTTGCCTAGAAAACAGAAACACTGACAACGATGCCAAGGAGTTGCTTCTGGGCTGCAAATACACCAAGACCTGAAGAGCACTTGCAAGGAAGATTTCGCTTTTCCTTTTCCCCGAGAAAGGCTCAGGAGGTGTGGGTGGCAGGTCTGGGCAGGGTTAAGAGGAAGAACTTCCCAGGGTGAGGTGGGAGGGCTGGGCCTGCAGAAGGGGATGTCTTAAAGGGAAGTGGACTTCGGACAGCAGCAGGAAACCACCATTCTGCAAGACTTCGGGCTTTCCCTCAGGCCGAAGATGACGGGGCAGAGCACCGGTCTCAGTCCCCAGCACCCCATCCCTCATCAAGCCCCGCCTCTGACAGAAAACTTCTACTGCCGCTCCACACTCCTCCGGGCTCCTCTCTGAGCCCACCACTTCACACTACCCAGTCCATCCTTTGTTTTTGGGGACTCCCAACAAATGCTTAGTGGGCCCAGTGCCACTCCCCACAATATGCCGCCAAATGGCCTTAGGAGTCGGGGCAGTGGCACATGTCACCTGTTACCAGGGAGGCTGGGGTCACCAGGGTTGCACCAGTGGTGCTCGGGGATCCATGCAATGCTGGGGTTTGAACTTGGGGTCTTGCTATGTGCTCCAGCCCTTTGAGCCATCTCCCAGCTGCCCCCAACAGCTTTCTTTTCTTTTTTAAAGGGGGTTCTTTATTTCTGAGCCACACCCTGCTACCCTCAGGGGTTACTCCTGGCTCTGCACTGCAGGGTCACTCCTGGCAGTGCTCAGGGGACAATAAGGGATATGGATTTTGCTGCATACAACAAGACAAGCACCCTACTGACTGTGCTATCTCTCTGCCCACCCACCCCTCCCCAGC